ATTATAAAGCTATTATTAGTATATTATTAAGTTATTATTACAGAAAAAAAAACTAGTATTATAACAATTGGATGTAAAAATGTCAATTTATTGCTATTTTTTTATCCTATTTAATAAAAAATTCGAAGAATTAGATAAAAAATGTGACTGTCCTTTCGCCATTTTTTATTCTCTCCTGCATTTCCTTTGAACAAATTTAAATTTTTATGATTTCGTTTGTATATATATTATCTGGCTAGACCATTACCTAGAGATAATCTCTGTCGTACAATTAATATATTGTACAATTGAATCCATTTCGCTTCATTGATTCGATAACTGTTAATAAACGTCCCTTCGCTTGTTATTAATTATACAAAAATCGTTGAACATTTTCATTCAGTTTATAAAAATAATCGTCTGCTAATTGCTAATTGGAGGACTTCGTTGCGTCATATTCGGTAAATTCTATTTCGTAAATGGCCAAATTTCTCTTAATACGTTTAATTCATCTATTTTTTTATTTATATATAAGTAAACTTAAAAATGCGATTTTATTGAAAGCTTCAATGATATAAACATTGATACAATATTGATCTCTTTAATTTTATTGTAATTTGACAATTTATGTGTATCCACATACATCTAATATATATTAAAAATTATTATACATCTGTCTTTATGAAAATCTTAATGAAAGATGTACTTGTCTCTCACTAACCAATGTGTAACATCAGAATTATTCAACCTATAATGTTTCTGTAACACACACATCTCGAATACAAACTAACAGTTACGTTGATATCATAATTTCCCACTCAACATTCAATTCAATTTAGACGTAATGATGACACATAACAGATACATTGTTGAATAGGCATCATAAATATGAGTTTACTAGTAAGTATAAAATATACATATAAGTTTACTTATGCAGATAAAGAAAATAGATGAATTAATGTGCAAAGAGAAAAATTTAGCTTCTATATTATATCGTTTTAATAGCTAACGTTAGACGACGATTATGAGTTTATCTATAAATATTAATGCTTAACGTAGCGAGTACCGAATAGATCGGCTATACAATTAAAACGCGTTTTGATTCGACAGTGTCCGCCTCACCGTTTGATTATATTTGTCAAGTAAAAATGAGATTTTGCTTTTCCCAATTCGCTCTCTTTACGTATTATATATTAATAAAAAATCAGTTTTTCATATCATATTTATATATATCGAAAAAATAAAATGGAAATCGCGTTTATAAGCGCATTTCATTAATCTTATCCTAAATCCTCATTTTGGATATGAATCGAAGTTTAAAAGAATAGAGATAAATCACGTCACAGTCTACCTCGATCTTTCGCGTATTATAGCAATAATTGATATTGTTATCTTGTGAATATTCTCAAAAGATAAAAGATGAAATTCATGAAACTTCAGCAAATAGAAAAATTGTTATGAATTCGTTCTTTATGAATTCATGTGACGGGTTGCCTCGAGACGGAGGGATTAACCGGTGCCAGGCTCAAAGTTTCTTTCTTCTTCCTACTCACGCGACGTCCTACGTGTAGGACAACGTCTCCAGCCTTCACAGACTTGAATTCGGCGATTGCCTCGGCGTGGGTCATACCGTGAAGAGGTTTCGAATTTATTGATAAAATTTCGTCCCCTGCAAGTATGGCGAATTTTATGAGATATATAACTTTATTTAAATAAAGTTATATGTTCAGTCTTAATTTTTAAAACTAAAAAAAGATGAAGATTAAATTGAATCGAGATTAAAGTAAATCTACATTAACTATGAGCTTCAAGGTTCGTTAAGAATTAAATTGTTAAATATAACTTTACCTTCCTTGACAGTGCCTAAGTCAGCAGCTTGGCCATTGGGGAAAACAGTTTTCACGTAGATTCCCATGTTTCCGCGAGGACTGTCGGTACCGCCGACGATACTGAAGCCAAGTCCTTTGTGCCCAGGACCCTTGAGAAATCTAGCGGTCAGTATCGTAAAAGATGCACCGCCTTTGCTTGGTCTTGGCAAAGTACAAAAACGCGACTCCTCTCCTTCGGCGGCTTCGTCGATATCTTCAAGCTCCGAATCAGTATTCAAGCCTTCATCCGCGTCTTGAGTACCCTATAAAAAATTGCATTGTATATACTTAAACCGTGAGAAAATGTACGTGCAAATAATACTCAACCGTCTGAATTAAATACTTTCGTTAACATTTTAGTTGTACTATTTATGTTCCTATTATTTAATATTTAAATTTCTCTGTAAAATATTCACGCAACTTTAACATTTGCTAATGTTTAGAAATTTTTTTAAATCAAAATTTACTCACTTGCCAAGTTTTCAAGTTTGCACCCGAAGAGCTAGGGATATTCGCGACACTTCTACTGTTGAGCCTCCTTGGGTTTCTCTTACCAGAACTTCTCTCTGTACCCAAACTAGTCGGTGTATCCTCCTTGTTACCATTGACTGAGCTCAACGTAGCCTCGCCTGAGTAATTATTCACCTGTCCACCGACCTTGAAGTCGGTGGACCTCTTTCTGGGCGTTACTCTGGGTATGTGTATCTCCTCGAACGACGGCTCCGACTGATTTCTGATCTTCGCGCTCTGGAAGTGTACATTTTCGTACGAATGCTCTCTTGTCTCAGAGTTGCTTCTTGCTAAGTGTCGACCTGCGTACGGACTTCCTGAAGCTAGATCGTCTCGTTGTGCGCCGACTCGTTGAAAGCGCATGTTCTCGTAAGAGTGATCGTGCACGCTGGCCTCGCGGTTCTCCGAGTTGCTGCGTTGGAGAACAGGCCGGGTCCTCGAACAGCAGGATGATGGCGAAGACCTCGGGAACGCTACGTTCTCGTAGAGAACGTCTTTCTGCTCGTAGCTGTCCTGGGAATAGCCGAAGGTGTTGCCGTTGCAATGGGGCGAGTTCGGGACGCTGCTCTCTGCCAGAGTCTCCAGGTTATCGTGAAAGGGATACGGTGGCAAGGACGCAGGCTCGCTCGAATCGTAACGATTGTCCTCGAAGGTCTGGCTGGTAGACGAGGTAAGGGGACTTGGTACGTAGAAATTCGAGGCATTGTCCTTCTGTGGAGGAAACACCTCCGTTACACTCAGTGCCTTTCGCTTCCTGATGCCGGCATTTATCTTACTGAACTTGCTGCGGAGTACATGCTGGATGTCGGCGATACCCTTCGTCGTGCCTGCAAATGTACTTCTCGTTATAAAGTATACATGCATAAATATAACACCTAAAGTATACATGTAATATAATCAGCTTCCCCTAAAACGAAAATTATATTAATTTTTTTAAATGTTAAATTAATTTTTATTATCTAACTTTAATAGGTTTTTTTAGTTATTTAGGCTCGGTTTTTCATTTGCTGGTTAACGTATGGCTAAGTAAAAATCGCTTGTGTAAAAATTGTATTTCTATATATGATGTTAATCACTAAACTGATAGTTTTGTAAAATAACTTTTAAAATTACAAAACTATTAATATAGTAATTAATACAGCTGAAGAAATAGAATTTTTACATTATTATTAAATCAAGTCTATAAGTTAACTAATAAAAAATCGGACCTAATTTTAAATAACTGGCTTTAATGGACGTTGTAAGGTATATATTATATCAAGGAAACCAGATTTATTCGCAGCTTAAATTCGCGAAGGTGATGTCGTTTTCTGTCTATTCAAACTCACCTGGCAACCTCAGGGAACTAGTTTGCAGTAGTTTCTTCGGTGAGTTACTATCCTGAAGACTTTTCGCAGCCGGCGAAGCTTCTCTGCTGGTCGGCGTTGATCTCACTGCGTGTATAACACCGTGATTCCCGCCACCCTGTATCAGCGCTTCCTGCGGCTCCGATGACTCCTGCACGGAGCATCTTCGCCGCAGTTTCCGCCAGCGCTGACTGATGCTTTTGTTCCACAGGTTCAAATCTAAAAAAGAGACAAAAAAAATACTCAGAATGCATCACTCGGGATTTTTGTTCAACCGAAGACGCCGGGAGTATCGTTTCTAAAAAAAAAAAATAAAGAAAAAGAGGAAGAAAAACACACCGTTCCGCTTCCCGGCCGTCAGGCTTTAACGACCGGAAACACTTATCTCTTCCCTGCGTGAGGTGGCACGACATCTTTCTATTTACGCACAGATAACAAGTCCGGGACTAACGAAAAGTCGCGTCACGGCGTGGATGAGTGTAACGGTAATGATAGGAAATTATCGAAGCAAAACAACGCTAAGCGTGCGATGACTCGTGCACGCATATAAAATGTATCACAGATATTCGAACACGATACTACTGCTCCGAAATAAAATAACATCGACTCGGCAAAATAATGCTATTACATTTCAGTCATTGATATTCGTTAAAGTTTATTTTTTTATTGCAGTAATATTATTGCAAAAATGTAAAACATTTTTTTATCATCATTGTTATTTGTGTTTTACATATTCCAGTACGATCGTATCCCATTATTTATACTATATATTTTTCCTATTATAGGAAATGGAAAATGAAAAGAATTTTTTACCTACGAGATCTAACAATCGGGAAAGGAAAAAGAATAAGTTTTTTCTTCTTTTTTTTCCAAATAATACGTGGCTTATCGACGAGAAATGTTTTGACGTTATCATTTGTATCATTATCTATTTTAATCCTAGTTTGTCTAATCCTATTTGTTTAAGCTTATACAAAAGTCAAATTAACTCAAATAAAAAAATCTACACGAGTAAATTTTTGTAAACACTATTTTTTTATAATTAAAAAATCTAATTTACAAATAACAAGATAAATATACACTTTGATAACCTTTTATATGTATATTAAAAACTATTTGACATTAGATAAGCTCATTTATTGGTATCTAAATAAAAACTTGTGTTATGGATTGTCAGGAATGGATTCCAATCAGAAAAAAAATAGTAAAAATCTAGATAATAATTGAATTTCCGATCGAAATTCATTCCGAATAATTCCACACATATCAAGAATATACTAAAAAAGTTATTGAATCTTACAGACCTAGTGTGACAAACAAAAAAATATAGCAATGAAGAGTTAAATATTGTTAAACAAAAGTATGAAATGAGGCTCGAAAGAATCAATCAATAAAATATAAAAAAGCCAATCAGAGCCAACACCAGCTGTTCGGGTGCATAGAAATCTCTTTATTTTCGTGTGAATACAATAACAAAATAAATATACGTTTCAACCTTTTATTTTGAATTTAAATTACATGAGTAAACCTATCTAAGAATGTAACTAAACTGTTTTTATTTTATGTGAGTTTTTTTTTATAATATCAAGAAGAAGAATATTGAAAAATTTCAATATTTATGATAATCACTTGACTATTTTTTACATAGCAAATTATTTGGATAAAGGAAAACGGGCGAATTTGTCATGATTTATCATCTTGAATGGTTTATTGCACTGACTTTAGTTATATTCTTAGATAGGTTTACTCATGTAATTTAGAGTTAGATTTTATATTGAAAAGAACTCAAAATAAAGAGTTAAAACGTATATTTATTATTATTTACACGAAAATAAAGAGATTTCTGTTCATCTAAACCGCTGGTGTTGGCTATGATTGGCTTATATATATATATTTTATTGTTTAAATATTATTAACTCTGTAATAATTAAAATATTAAACCTACACTAATAAAAAATTTTAATCTTTAACATGAAATATTAACTATTAAGACCTATATATTTTTCAAAAAAAGAATTTGGCAATAGAAAATGAGGTAATAAACGTTGCTTTTTGCCGCTCCAGATGAGAAAATGTAATAAGTGCCTATCGCGACAACTTATAAATGCATAAAATCTTCATGTTCTGGAACTATCAAGGAAGAAAGCGATTTATAATCTCTGTCACGCGGTGTACCCTCGTCATACCAATTACGGTCCGAACGTCAATTCCTCATTCCATCGCGCACATACCACCGACTCAATTACACCTCCCGTCACAAACCACCGTGTAATCCAATCTAATTACAATTCAATATAGTTTCCATGTTCTCTCCGCAGCGTCCACGTGGCCGGAAAACGAGACCAAGCGCGAAGTAACATCAATTCCGCGGGGTCGAGCCCCACTTCCTTCTTCCGCTCCCTCGACGCACCCTCGACGGCAACCTTGAAGAAAACCGGAGCATAACGTGCATCTCTCACGCCGTACCGTCACGGCATCATGAATTATTAAAGACAATGGCAAACTTTCCAGTGGAGTCTGGTGGGGTTCGTGAATTAACACGATACTATTAAAATCCAGCTCACGACCTCTCTGATCGTCAACAATGACATTGGTGCGACCGATGCTCGTCGTTTCGATACACTGTTTCGCCAGCTATCGTTCGCCGGTTACCCCGGGGACGGGGTTACCGTCATCTTGTGCAAAACACACTTTCACTTCTCGTATCTCCGGATGCGTCCGATTTTACGAGGCCTTTTCGCTGCGCCGCGTCAACCGGACGTTGCGCTCGCTGATACACTCTCTTTCGGCCACCTTGTGTAAATTATATATATATATATATATATAAAACCATGCACCACCTAATGAAACCACCTAATTGGCTGCTTCGTTAACGTCAACTCGCCACGTACGATGAGAATATTGACATCGACTTTGCATCGCTTTTACCAAATTTTTATATCGCCTTCAAAATATTTTATGATACTTGATATGGTGACGAAACTTTTCCAATCTAGGAACCTTCCACGAAGCAATGGATAAGTCTTTTGGTTCTTACACACAAAGCTCCTATTCCAGCTACGGAAATTCCTGGAATACTTTACACATCGTAGTGTACCTGAGATGTCACTTGATCTTTGCTTAACCCTGAAATGTTCCAGAAGTAATGCAATTGGAGATGAAGTTCTTAGTGTCGCTCTTGAAAAATTTTACAAGACAAAAAAGGAATAATTAATATCGTATTCATAAATTTTTGTCAGTTCTTTAAAAGAGGATGGGTACATAAATATTTAAAAGTCTCCCTTTCGCATCCTTGAAAGTTTCTCTTCGCGTTTCTCTTCTTAACTACGTTTATTTAATTTACACTATCACTGTCACGTTGATTGTTCCAACGTCTTTGTCTCCAGGATAATCTAATGCAGGATCAATAAGGCGGTTTAATCCCGGAACGAGACAATTCCGTTAATAAAGTTCCTTGGGAAAAGCGTAATTAACGTTTGCCGGCGTCAGCTCCATGCAAATCAGTATTGATCACGCAGACTGTGGCAAATCAAATCTCATCGTGAATAACGTCGTCGGAAGTTGAAATCTCCCCTGTCTTGACAGTATCCTTTATAGCAGCAAATCCTGCGAATTTTGCTCAAACAATTTTTTCTCTCATAAAGAATATTTAAAAATCCAATATTTTTCTAAATGAATAATTATTTTCCCAGAATTAGAATTAATCTCGAGATTCTTTCAATGCAAATTCAAAAAAAAAAAAAAGAACATCCTTACGGACGTAGAATTGTTTTCCAACACTGACACGGTTTTTCGCGATCGTTCCTTCTTTTTTGGCACATTTTTTTAAATATTAGTAACTTCCTTTTCACAGAACAAATTCGAAAAGCTTGTACTAGTTCGGTAGCTGTATCATTTGCGACTCCAAGCGCAGCAGATCTGCGTAGAAATAAAAAAAATCGATGACGTGTGCCAGCATCTCGATTCGCGAGCATACCGCGAGATCAGTCAGGGTCATCGATCGTCCTTCGCGTTCGGCGACGCGCGACGGATCTTCGCGATCGCGCGTAACTAGGTACTCCGTTTCCTCGATCGTGACGGCCGAGTCTCCGTTTCGGAAATCGCAGGATCTACACTGCGCGCGGTCTCGGCGTGAACTGAAAGGCCCTGTCCCCGGTCCCCGGGCTTCACGTTCACGTTGTCGTGTGTAAGGCGTCACATGCGTGTGCGTGTACCGGCGTGCACACCACACGTGCGCGGCTCTCTTGATACCTGTACATACTCGGTGACGCTGAATAAAAATACTCGCGCAGGCTAAAAAATGCATTTTATTACATAACTTTTCAATTTGGTGAGAACTAATTGTGGTCCACTTATCGACTATTAAAAATATTCATGCTACAAATTTTATTCTATTTTTTTTTCATATTTAAATTTTTGAACATTTTTGAATATTTAATTGTGCGTCAATTTTTATTCAATTTTTATATTTAATCATTTTTATTCAATGTTTATATTTAATCATGTAACTATTATATAACCAATATATTGCAACCTTTTTATTTTTGTTTTTCAATTGTAATTTTTATGTCTTACACTGAAGATGACCTAATGAAGGTTGAAACATTTGTATTTTAAATGTTTATAACGATCGGATTTGATCGAATATAGATCGAACATAGAATATAGTTAATTATTAGTAATTAATAACTAACTTTGATTAGTAGCCTTTCTCTTTTAACAACTCATTTTCTAAAAAATACTTGTATATCTGATCGATTCAAATTAAAAATCTTTTTTTCCTCAAAACGTTAAAAGATTTTTCTTAGTTAAATTATATATAGATTTATATATTCCAAAGTAAAAAAAGATCAAATTAGGAATTCTTGTACTGATTATTTACTTTATTAATCTTATCTACAATGTTTTAACATTCATTGCGATATATTATCTACAATTTGTCTATTGGATAGGTCTTTCTACATCAGATATCTAACAGAAATATGTTCAAAAAGCAATACTCTAAATAGATATTCGAAGCACAAAGACTTTGTAATTATAAGTGATTGAATAACTAAAAATCATTGCAAATTATACAATTTAACACTTTAATTGTAACAAGATATTATGTAAAATTTCTAATACTTAAAAAATGTTTGTATAAACCTCAGAGAAGTAAATAAAATTCCTAATCGATTTTCAACAATTTTAAATTCGAGATTAAATTTTATCAAAAATTC